AAAAAGAAAAAAAAGTAATATCTCAATATCCAAATTTGATCTACCTAATTAAGTAAAACCAAAAAAACAAATAGAAAGAAAAAAAAACAAAGTAAAAGAAAAGAAAACAAAAATAGTACTATTAAATCTATGCTAGATTGTAAAAATTATATAGTATTACTAAATAATCTAGTCAAGCTCTATATTAGTTATTTATATCTATATTTAGAATGTTAAAAAATAAGAAAAACTATCTGTTCTTGAGTAGAGATCCAAGTTCAAAATTTTTTTCTGTTTTATTTCATCTTTCTTAAAACTTTTACAATATGACTTAATTGTAATTTCTTACAAATATATTTTTTATTCCAAAGTAAACATATATATATATATATATATTTCTTTGTTGATAGCAATTATTGATATTGATTTTTTAATAGAAGTACACTGAATTTTTCACTTTTTGTTAAAATTTCAAAAAGTATAGCGAGTGAGATAGTGAAGAGAAGCTTGGTTTGCGGGTAGCTATAAACTTTGATAGAGAGTATGTTAAAAACTCACTTGTTGTTCTTCTTTCTCTAGACTAATTATTTTTATTTCGTCAACAGAAGCTACACTTCTATTAAAATTTTCTGTACAAAGGTATCACTTTCTTGCTAGTTATTTTGTATAAGAATACTTTTAACTTGCTTGCTAAATATACAGAGGAGTCCAGAAAAAAAACAGAAATATTTTGACTTCTGTAAAAACTATTACTTATAGTTGTCTCTTCTATTTTCTCTAACAAGTTTTTGTTTTTGTTAATTATAAATTTGGTTCAAGTGATCGTTAGAGAGAGTTGCAATTGAATCTAAATTTTATAGTTTTTATAATAATTTATTTAAATAATAGTTTTTAATTTAAAAAATTTTAATAATAGCTAAAAAATTAGTCAAATTGGTCAATTAGTTTATTTGCTAACTCTAAATATTATATATATATTTTATATATAATATGATATGATATGAGGAGAAAAGTAATTTCTTTAATAAAAAAATATTATATAATAAATATTATAGCTTTTACAAAATTAATAATTATTATATACAAAAATTAATTTTTTTTTTAGTATTAAAATAAAGATTTTTTTTTGGTGCACCTGTCACATAATACTAGTAACTTTTTATATAATATTCATGCAATAAATCTGTCTATTGTTGTAAATAATATTAATATTTTACTATATCTATAACCCTCTAAGTGCCAAACTCTAGCATACTAGCAAAACTCTAACCCTAAACTAATAACAAAAAAAACTTTTACAGCATACACTTATTTGTGCGAATAATACACAAACCCTTAGAAAGGAAATAGCCAATCAGAGAGCACAAAATTTGATTGTTCTAGATCAGCCCAACATGAATTCTAAACATGTGTAAAAGAAGAAAAAAGCAAAAATACTCAAAAATTAGTGTTTAAATCGACTTTGATGTACTAATTAAAAATTTTGGAACAAAATTTTATATATAACGAGCAACAGTTTATTGTTATAGCCTCTAATGTTAACGCTCTAACCCTAAACTTCTATCTTTACGCATTTAGTTTATTTACAAAATTCGACTTCCAAGTAAAATCTGTATATACATATGTACATACATACAAGTAGTAACTATGTATTAATTATTGCAACTTATAACTTTGTTACAAAGCTAGCATTTTTTAGAATTGTTGAGAATTGCGATTAAATCACGAATTGCTACAGTATAACAATGCAAATAATAAGTACTTTACACATAGTACTCATTTTAATCTATTAACTTTCTATATAGTACTATTAATAAAACATACAATAGCAATAAAGAATGCATTATCATATTAACCTAAACCAACTCTTTGAATTGTAAGTATCTTTATTAAACTATAACAGACATGATATAAAAATAATGCATACATACAAAATAACCACCTTCTGACCAATTCATATACTTACTCTTGTATTTTATTTGAACAAGTTGCAACATTATGCCCCAACTCTTTACAGAATCCACAAGTGTATTGCTTTTTATTGCTTGTTTCCTGTAATGTAGTCTTTGTAGTGCTTTTATTGTAGTGACTTGTTCTTTTTGGTCTTTCTTTAACTGCCACTTTGCAGAGATTTACAAGTTGTATTGAACTATTTTCTATGTCTCCAGTAGTACTAAGTGAACTATGTGTTGTAGTCTCTTGTCTTCTGACTAATTCATCCTTTCTAATGTAAACCTTTTCTAATTAACTTTCAATTAAATGAATAAAGTTATTATCATGATACAATATATATTTGTTTATAGCAGTACATGTGAGACCCCAAACTTTTCTATAAAAAAGTATATCATAAATGAATTCTTCATTCGTTGCTTCTCTTAAATCATTATTTGCAAATAGTTGCAACCACGTAAATTGATTCTTATTTTTTTCTAGAACTATACTAATATTAGTAGCCATATTAGTAAAACATTGACCAAAATATGCACATTCCTTTGCTGTCTCTACTCGTTAATTTTTTGGAATTCAACGCGTTGCAATTAACTGTAAACTAAACCGTGCTCTGTTGTAATATTCAATAAATAGTAAAAGTGCTGACAAACCAACCCTTTTTTTTGCTACAAAAGACAGGTACAACAGTATGAACCAGTTTTAAGAATAAATACAAAATGGTTAATCTGATAACTTGTAATTTTCGACACTTTTCAGATTTCTTTGATTATGCTATGGTTTAATTGATCCATTAAAAACTTAGTGCTTAAAATAACAGCATCTAGCTCATCATCTACATCTTTACTTTGTGAAAGTTCATAGGAAGTAGGTGATTCAACCTCTTCAACCGATAAAGGGCTAGCTGTGTAATACAGACTTTTCTTTATTTGATCAACTAAAAACTATGAAATGTTTGGTTTCAAGTAATGTTTAACCAATGATTCAATACCAGGAAAAACAGTAATAACACTTCTTGCAGAAGGAATATCTTGTTTCTATTCCTCAAATTGCTTATGCCTTTGTTCTTCACTGCTTTTCTCTATCAAAACCTTACTTAAATCACATAGTGATGTATTGCTGTTATCTAGTATTCACTTTATACATACATTTTGACCTTCAATGAAGGATATAAACTAAATTCCAAGCGTAAAAGTCATTGCAGAGAATGCACATATCCAGAAAAATCTGCATTCGTAAAGATAGCATTCAAGATATAACCTTGCAGTGGGGAAATCTATAAGCTGATTCCAGTAATAGTCAAAAAGATATGATATACCAATGTTTCGACATTGCTAGAACTTACTACTATATAAAATTCATTAAAAGAACTTCCCAACTTGCTATGCAGCATTTTTTTTATGTTTTCCTTAATGTGCCAAATACAAAACAGGTGTTTTGTTTCTAGATACTCCAGAATTACAGCACATTTCATTGTCAGATCAGCATTAGTCACAAATACACTAGAACACTTATTGTTGGTTGTTTTTTTAGTCATCTGAAGGAGCCATTGATAAGTTTTAGCTACTTCATTACTAACAAAAGCTTGAGCAATAATACAAGATTGCATGTTATCATCCTAAATTACAAATAAAGATAGTAGCATGTGGTACCTGTTAGTATCTGACGTATTATCATGTCCAATTGCCTTTACAAATTTATACCACAACAAAATTTGTTCTGAACTCATCCAAAACAAATTAATCAAGGTATTGGTTTCTTCTTCTCAAGTGACTTCAATGAACCAACGAAGTCTTCTCGTTGTTTTGATAATAATTCTCTATAAAATTGTGATGCATCTTTTTTAATTATATAATATGATGGATGATATCGTTGAATTTCAACATAAAGATTCTTAGAAAATATAGAGTAGGAAGAAAACTTCTTTTTCAAAATACACCTTATCATAGTTGCACCAAGATGATATTTGGTAACAAGAAATTCTATTTCTTAACGCATCTCCTCTGTGAACTGTTTGTTCTTTTCAAATTGTATTGCTTCAGAAAAGAGATCGTGATTATAACTATCCTCTAAAGTAGTGATAAAGACATGAGAACCAGGGTTATCTTTTAAAGGACGTGAAAGGTTAACATGCTATTGGCATAATAACCTAGCCGAAGAGCTTGGCTTTTTAACATTCTTTGGTTTAAATAAACCCACATGCTTACAAAGAATGGTCTGTTTACGAATAATCTTTTTGTTTTCTGCTGTATCTAGCATTATTAAATGCCCAAGTCATATTTTAAACCCTTTATATTCTGCAAATCAATGTATATGAAGTTTGGCTTTATCAAAGTTATCAAAAGAGTTACCTTTCTTTAAAAAAATTGGTTCTATATTACTGTGTATATTATTTAAATTCATATTACTACAAGAAGTTTCCTCAAAATATATTGTTACGTCAAAATCATCCTCACTATACTCTATAAATACTAGTTTTAGTTGGTACTGATTTTAAGAAAGAGTGTAAATTGGTCTATAAAAAAAAAACTAATCTATAAATATAATTAGTAATATGCAGAAAAAAGTTATATAACGAATTTAAAGCAGCAAAGCTTATTTGAAATCCTGATGAGTCATAACTTAACGAAATATCAACTTTGATTACAACCTTTCAGGATTTTTACCAAACCTATAATTTTCTTGATATCCAAATTCTGCTAAAAAAATGTTTTTTTCAGAATACAGTAGCCTGAAAAGTGTATCATAATAAAACAATCTGTAGTTTGTACATTGTACGTATAACTTCTGTAAATCTACAAAAAAATCACAGGGGAAGAGCTACCAACTATTATATGTATAATAACGCATGTGTGATCAACCAAATGCTGATCAATTCTTATATTCAAAAAATCATATGTAATATAGTTCATTACAGTAATAAATTTTGTTAGTTATATAAGAGATGTACCATGATGCATGGTGCATCAAATTATAATTCTCTTAAAATAATCTTTTGGCTATTTTTTTTATAAAAATCAAAATTTACTAAGCCAATTGATTTTTTTAATTAATAAAGTTGTTTATTATAATAAAATATGGCTGAAATGTAGTATAGCTTACCCTTTTTACCAGCATTATACCAATTTTTGGCTAGAATTATATCAATTTTTGGCCAGAATTATCACAAGGGGACCCGCGCATATATATATACCAGGTTGGTAAAAAGTAACTAAACAGGTTCCTATTTTTACTATCTCTGCTAATATTTAATTTATTACCTGAGTTTGTAAAAATTTATAAACAGTATTTTTTTAATACACTGATTATCATTTTAATGTTTAGTAATCATCGTAATAAATTACAAAATAATAAATCAAATATTAGCAAAGATAGTAAAAATAGA